CAACTCTTTCTTACTCCAGAGAAAACAAAGCCAAAATGTTATGTTCTTCATAGTTTCAATTACTTAAATAAACTAGAAGCCCATGATTTCACATATTTAGAAAACCTTCTTAAAAATAAGATCATCAAAATTGCATAATTGCCTTATCACACGATTATAAAAAAAATTTTCTTACTTAAAAGTTCTATAAACAGAATCAAAAACTATCTGTTTTGCTCATTACTACTAAATACTTGATTGAAAGCTATAGTGCACGTTTTTGTTTTATATGGCACAAATATCTCTTATTAACCCTTTCAGCATGAGCTCAGTCCCTGGGACCAACCTCGTAACCATTTTGTGCTGTTATAGTTTTCATGCTATAACTTTGATATTAGTAAGCATATGTTACCAAAATTTGGCAGATTGTCAGTAAACATTACAATGATTTCATATGCAAAATATCCAATTTATTTATTAAGTCTTAAGGTTTGTATAGCAATGTTTTTCTCATGCCTTTTTTTTTCTTTTTGCATGGTTCCTATCCATCTTGCAAAGTCATTTTAATTTTAAAATTTTTTTATGAATCAGAAAATTTTCAAATTTCACATACAAAATCTTTATAATGTCCAGATAGTTACCAAATGTTTCTTAAGAAAAACTTTATATTTTATCTGTTATTTTCATTATGCCTCTTTCATTCGAGAATGACAACAAATTATAACACAAAAACATAAATGTTTAAACAAAATAATTTAAATCTCATAACATTATACATTTATATATATATATTATTTTTATTATACTGACCTTTCAGCCATTTCTGGCTAACAAAACAGAAGTTACAATGACGCAGCATATGTGCTCTCATGATACCATATCCAATAATATAAAACTGACCTTTAGTCTTTACAAAGTGACATGTCTTGGCTGTCTTTTAGAATTTTAGTAATTTGTAAAATACAGTCACATTTCAATTATTATACATGATATATGTATATAGATTATTGCTATTTAAAAATAAGTTCTTAAACTTATTTTCCTTAAAACACAGAACAGTAAATAAAGAAGTAAAGCAGACAAATATCTCTTCTAGTTTCAACCTTTGTACTCGGTTGCTAAAGCTTATAACATTTCGCAAGTGGAGGATGTGAATAATTTTTAATAGTTTTATATATACATTTGAAATGACCAAAAATCATAAATTACTATATTGATACCATAGAATGCTACTATAATTCATCAAGCTTAGTAACTATGCTGTATTTCAGTCTAAATAAATATGAAATTTTGCCCAAACTAAAGAGACAACCTACCTCCTTGAAATCTTGGTTTGAAAGAAAGAGATGGCATCCAGACACATTAAAATGGCTGAGAAAGCCTGTAGGGGACATTCTGAGCTTTTGGTTGATTATTAATGTCGCATATTGATGTAAGTGTATATAAGGGAGCATTTCCAAAAATGGAAAGAGGTGGTCAGGGTGCCACTGTGTTTGATTTATTACGAGCAATATCTTGGCAAATAGAAAAGATAAGAGGTTCTTATTATATATTCTAGCTTGTCAATATTGGCAATTTGAGTTCCTAATTCACACAAAGCTATAGACTTAGTATTTTGACTACACAAATATCTAATTTGAACCAGTAATGCATTCAACATCCTATGTGACACACAAAAATCGATGTTTATCTGTGTTTTTTTAACATTTGCTTTTAAATTAAAACCTGAGTAATATGTAGTACTAAAATTTGAATTATAATCTACAGTTTGATACCAAACTTACTGACATAAATTCATGAAATAGTAGTTCAGTAAAACTTTGAATGCAAGTCAACAAACAAGATGACATGGCCTTTCAATCGTGACCCATATGGAAAGGGTTAAACTTAAGAGGATTATAGAAGATCATGGGAATTCGCCAAATTGGATAATACAAAATCAAAAAAGGTTGAAAATGTAAGAATTAACAGAAGGATTTCTTTAAAAACATTAAGGTTAAGCAAAATGTTAGGATGTGAGTACACCTTTGTGGGATGATACAGAAATGCTCATATCTAATGATTATGAGATGGATGGGCTGTTAAATTTTCATTTTTCTTCAATTTTTATTAATGCAGATAACAGCAATATTCCTCATCCTGAACAGCTAGTAGATGGAAACAAAATCAAAGAAAGTTCCCACATTAATTTTAGTATAAGAAAAAAATGGTTAGTTTTAAGGATGATAAAGCTGTTGGACCACATAACATCTCTCCCAGAGTTTTGAAGGAAGTTAAAGATTGGGATGTGAGTCACTTGCTACTGTTTTTCTAAGTCAGTGAACAGTGGTCACGTGGCAAAAAATTGAAAGATGGATAATATTACTCCTCTTTGCAAGGGTGTAATAAAAATTATTCCAGTAATTATACTTATTAGTCTTACATCATTGGTGGGAAAAGTTTTTGAAGGTCTAGAAAAAAAATTGCACAAGTTCATTTAACAAAGTATAAAATTTTGTTCGATAGTCAACATCGTTTCACTACTGGAAAATTTTGCCTTACTAATCTTTTGACATTATTTTAAGAGCTTACCACTTATGCAGATGAGGATACAGGAGTAGATTTAGTATAGCTGGATTTTCAGAAAGCAGAGAGTTGTTATAAAAAGAGTTCAGTTAAACTGAATTAATGTCACAAGTGGGGTACCTCAGGGCTCATTCTCAGAACCTTTGCTCTGTTTTATTTGCATTATTGACATAGTTTAAGAAATGGTCAATAAATTACTTAAATTTAATGATGATATTAAAGTTTCTAATGTTGTCTGTGAGGAGGAGAAGGATGCTTTAAGAAAAGATTTAGATAATTTGGCTAGTTTGGAGAATAAATGGCAGAGAGCTTTTAATAAAAAAAACTTTAAGGTCATACATGTGAGATATCATAATTTGAATTATAAGTAAAATTTTGAAGAGAATAACCTTAACAGTGTTATGTAAGAAAAGGCTCTTGATTTTCTGGTTGATCACTCACTTAAGCCATCCAAGCAGTATGCTGTTGCTAAAGGTAGAGAAAATTGGATGTTTGGCTGTATCTATTAGAAATACTGAATACAAGTCTGAAGCAGATATAATTTCATTGTATAGATCAATGGTTAGGCCACATTTGGAATATTATGTTCAGTCTTTGGCTCTTTACCATAGTAGTAACACTGAATTGTTGAAAAGGGTTCAGAAACGAGCTACTAGGATGGTACATGATATGGACTGTCATACAAAGGACAAGTTAGGATCTCTGAAATTGCTTTCTCTTGAAAAAAAAAAACTTACAAGGGATCTGACTGAGATGCTTAAGATTGTTAAGGCAATTGACACTGTTGATGCATCATCTTTTTCTTCTTACTGATGGTCAGAATGGCAGGAGACACAAATATATATTTGCACAAAGTAAGTCATCTTCAAGCAGCAAGACAATTTCATTTTTTATAGGGTGATTAGCCTTTGGAATGGGTTGTCATTAAATGAGGTGGATATAGTAAATTTAGAGTATTTTAAAGGTGGACTTGATAAATATTTGAATAATTAAGGCCAGCTTTGAGTATCTTATTTCTAAAGTTTAGTTTAGTGGAAGGGATGACTTAGATGGACCAACAGGTCTTTTATTGAACTTAAATCATACAAGTCTCCAGCAGATTTTATGACCCTAAAGTGCACTGCTTGTCACCTCTCAATATTTAAATTGATCTTCCACATGAACCAATCACTAGGAGAAACAACCTCGGTAAAATCAGCATTTTTCTATCTCTTAATATCAAGAGAAAATTTGGAAATACTACTTTACAATTTGAATAATACATCCAAATATGGACATAAATTAATAACAAGGTCCCAAGACCTGTTGGACCCTACTATTAGAAAAAGTACACACTTATCACTACTATGTACCTTTTCCTACTAAGTAACTTTTTGTCCACTTTAAACTTCTATGCCTAATTTACAAACATCCTACTTACCAATTAATCTCCTGAAAAACATCTTACTAGAGGCTTCATGAAAGATAAGAAACTTAAAAGCAATTCAAGTGTTCTCATCCAAGTAAGTGAAAGTTCCACTAGATTAAAACACAACTGTTTTTATAAGACTATTCCAAGAATCAATAACTCAAAGTCAACTTTTAAAATGCCTTTGAAATTAACTTCTAATAAAAGATTCCACTAAAATCCTAAAACCAACTGCAAAAGTTAAACTGATAGATCTAAAGTTATAACTTAACAATCAACTAGCTTTTACCTAGCATGTGATTATGTACACCAATTCATCTTGCCACATTGTATGAACGAAGGAAGAAAAGCTATCAATTTGGCATAGTGATACAGTATGACCACTCTGTACTTTTGCAGTCTAACTTTAAAGCAAGTCAGTTCTTCATTGAAGCAAATTATTAAAAAAAACGATCATATAGCAACAGTCCTTGAAATTAAAGATGAAATTCTTTAAATCCAGCATGAAGAAGCTGACTTTGAAGCTACTTTAAATAGTTTATATTAAATTCAAATAATGGATATTTGTGAATTTTTCCATGAAACATCATGCTGTTTAGTTTAAAATTCAGCTTTTTTTTATAGTTGCTTGGTGCTAATACATACTAAGAATGGTGACACATGGTTTAAGAATACAATGACGTTGTTACGTTAAAGACAAAAAGGAAATTCTTTGAATTAATAAAACAGGCCTATGTAGCTGAGTAAAAGAATAAGGCGAGTCACACGTCGTTCAGTTAGGCTTAAGCTATAGCAAGCTACTTACAAAAAGAAACTTCCACTCCTACTGTAATTTTTTTTCAAAAAACATAAAACATTTCCAAACTACATCATACTAAAATAATTACCTCTGAAACTTCGTCATCTTCACTATCAGATAAATCTGCCATGAAATTCGAGTGAAGCGAAGAAAACTGTCCCCTTCCACTACTCAAGTTTCCACTCAATGGTGACGAAGAGTCTGAATGAACTTTTCCAACCTCGCTTGTTTCATCATCTCTAATCTCACCACATGCGTTATTTTGGACTACATTCTGCATTTTTTCGTTTATATAATAACATATGAGCCTATTACGTCTACTGAAACCTTAATAATTTGATACAAAAAGAGTTATACTGCTAAACTTTACAAAATCCCTCACACAATATTAATCACTTTTCGCCGCCATTACGAGTACTGGTTAGCTATGTGTCCCGGATGCAACTTGTAAGCTATAGTAAATGCTAACCATCAGTGAGGCATGAGGGCGTTAGAACTACTTAAGTCGTGGAAACTATCATGACTGTAGTAAATATTTGTAAGGAGATTTTTTCAACGGCAGAATTTTTTCTGTCCTCAAATATTTGAATAAAAGTTCATCTAAGAAATAATTTTAAGTATTGAGGAATTAATTATCTTAAGCTTAATTTGGATAAAATTGTACAAATTTATTATAAACAAAAAATATTGTAATTAATCGTTAAGTAATAAACGTATTTAATACCGTGAACTAATATTAATACAATTTATATATTTGTTAATATGTTATATAATTTTTTATTGTAAAATTCCTTCAGACAATAGAACTAAATAACACACTCGCATAAAGATATCTTTCACCGAACAAAGCGATTTACGTCCCTCTAGCGGAATGTATGTGCTATAAATTTGAAAAAGTTCCATAAACGAACCAAGGACACTAAACTGGCTATGATAGAGCATATATTCATTCACATTTGATTGTAAAAAAAAAGTGTTATTATTTCAAAATGTAGAAAGAGTTTACCGGGACCAAAATATCCATTAAATAAGCTTCCATTAATCAAAATAAATATCTCTTACCTACAAAAGTAAATCAAAATTAAAATAAACAAGAAGTTATTGGACTTGTTTGGTATGTTAAATATATCTTTAATTAGCAAATTTTCGCATTGTGTAGAACATTAATGTATAATAGCATGATGATAAAAATAAAATTATAAGTATCAATTTATTATAAGAGACACAGACCATTAGAGCAAGTTTGTTTGTTTTCTATTGAGGGCTATATGTGCTCTATCCACCACGGGTATCAAACCCAGCTTTTAGCGTTATAGACCTGCTGACTTACCGCTGAACCACTGGGGAGGGGATGGAGCATTAGACTAAGACAGAAGATTTTAAGTTATCATTAGCCAACTGAGAAAGTTAGTATCTTGAGCGTATAGAAGTTCAAACGCGTACAATGAAAATCATGTAATGATTCTTCTGAAAGGATTTAACGGACTTCATCCACCTGTTTGAAGCTTGTTGAGAACCAACGTTTCACTCTGCTAATGTAGACCTTCTTCACTTAAAACGTTTTTAGATGAATTACTAGCCTACCCCTAAATACATCTTTTAAAGTAATATGTAGTGATTACTTATATCTTACACTTAGGAAGAATAATCAAAATAACTTCCAGACTTTTTCTTGTTGCTCTTTTCTCTTGCCATTCAATAAAACAAACATTACTGGGTGGACTTTTTCGGGAAAAAGTATCTTTATTTTTCTATGTTATGCACTTCATAACAACCATGCAGTTAGTAAAACTTATTTGTTATTTACGAATCAATGTATTTTACCGCATTGTCTCATTGAACCTTAATCTTTTATAACTCTTCTATCAGCCTGTCGTATTTTTCTTGACGTCCCAGCGCAATATTATTAATGATCAAGTTGTAATTAGTACTTTGTAAGAGATGTCCAGTTAAGAAAATGTATACAACTCACAGTAAGAGTACTAGAATGCTGAGGACTTTATAATACTCTACATAAATGCATACTCCATACTTAATGTCTAGTGTTTCCGAAACTGTAGTAAGCAACGCAAAGGTTTATCATGTGCTAAAGTCGTAAATCAATCCACCCAGGACTGAAAAGCAGAGACAACAAGATGGAATGTAATCAGTCTTAGATCAACTGAGAAAGGACTGATTCTTTGAAGTTTTGGAGCATGGTCAAATGGACTAAAGATAACGCACGCTTAGACAGATGAGGGAGAAAAGCCACAGCAGTCACCAAAATGAAGAAGAAATTAATGAAAAAGCTAACAAGTACGATCTGCCACCCTCCTAAAAGAAGCTATAGCTGACCACCAATAAAACAGTCTTAACTAACACCAAGCATAAACATCTATTGGGCCGATTTAAAACTTGGAAATGAGTATCTGCTGATATATTATCCATTTATACAAAACATTGTAACATCAGCATTCAAACGTATACACAGGTATGAAAGAATATAATATTTACTTATTTATTCGTGAATTTCTTAAATACCTGCTCACTAAAATCCTGCATCTTTAAATGGAATTGTAGGATACTTTCCTACCTACTAAGGCCAAATCGCTGGCAAAATATTATAAAATGCTTACTCAGGAGGAGCAAAAAAGCTAGCTGCAGTAATCGATGCACAGTATATGCAAGTACAACTACCTTTGGTTGAAAATTGTTGGTCTAGTCAGCTACCCCAGTTGAAAGAGTAGTAGCATGGGAACAATGAATTTTATAAAAACTAATGGGCTGGTCAAGAATATAGCAAGTAGTTGGTTGTTTGTTTAAGAGCAAAGCCACATTGAGCTATTTTCTGTGTCCAGTCCAAGGAATCGAATCCCGGATTATAGCGTTATAAGTCCATAAACTTACCACTGTCCCATCCGAGGTGGCTGACAGATATACAATTGGGATTCTAAAGTGTTATTGTCACCAACACATTAATCAGGAAACAACCAGCAGTCTTGTTTTAAAATTCCATGATAAAATAGCATTGGGCTCAACACTTTTAATACCAGATGTCACAAAGATGTAAGTGCATGTCCAATAGATGACCAAAAAAGGAAGAAATACAATATAGCTAAAATATGTAAGTGCATGTCCAACAGAATACCAAAATAGGAAGAAATACAACATAACACAAAGAGTTAAAAGCACTTTAAAATACTCATACGCTAATGCAATGGCAAGACAATGTAGATGCAAGTCCATGATGCCATGCACACAATTTTTAGCTCCTATATATTTGGCTCATGGCAAATTCCTGACCATTCAGTAAGAAATGTAGACACAGGTAGATACGTGGCTAGATGGAAATCTGAGTGTTCTTTCTGGAGAGAAATATCTATAGAATGAGATTGTTAAATTATTAAGAATAAAAAGTATCGAAATATTAAAGTAGATATTGTTCAAGGCTCTCTATCAAGTTGGCCAAATTTACACTGTTGAGTATTTAGGATGTTAATGGACTTCAGATATATACCCAAAAGTCGACCAAAAGCAATGCCATCATCTGCAAACTCAAGGTTATGATTACAAAAGAGAATTCTTCAATCTAAAAAGCCATTCCAATGAAGCTGGTCATAACGTTCGGTACCATTAACAAAATGATAAACAAGGACTTTAATGTGATGAAGATACACAAGCTTTCAATCACACTTTTAAACGTACAGTTGATTTAGGGAAAACCATGGCCAAAGAACTAGATTCACAGCATCCCATTTGACAACGTACCTGTATGTCCATTTAATGCAGTTCCAGTGGACGTTTTACCTTTAGACTAGTTAAAAGTGACCTTGGAAATCAAATCGACGTAAAGTGAAGGACTTGTGAAATGTCTGTAAAGATGTGTAGTCTAAGCTGGACCTCCCTGTCCTTCCATAGAAGCACATCATACTGTAAATTGCTTTGTCAGGCAATCGTTGTATCAGTCGTGTGCAGTCATGGTCATCGAATTGAGCATTATCGATAATGGATTAAAAAAAAAGTCAACGGGCATATAGGACCTTATACATGATTTTTTTGTAAAATACAATTGATCTTCAGAAACTACAGCTTCTGAAACTAACTTAAACTTGACTAATAACTATGTGAACTTTTTAGGGTCAAAATAATAGCAGAAAACAATAATTAACAAACATATACACATATTAGTATTGTTACGTCTCCGTTTGTTAA